CTCTATTTATAGATTTATGTTAGCTTTCTCTCTAAGCCAAAACCCAAAACTATAAAAGCCCAAAATTCCTATTTTTGAACTAAATAAAATCTATTTGTTTTAGACCTAAATAAAATATATCTATTTTAGATCTAAATAAAATATGTGTGTAGCAATTCGAGAAACACACCTTTTTGACACTATAAACTGCAATTCAACACACCACCTAATTCATTATGTCTAAGTTATCTACATTCATCATAGCTCGTAGTCTTTGAAATACTTTGTCCCGCACACCCTTCGTCATGATGTCTGCCATCTGGTTCTCAGTGGTGTAGTATTCCGAGTTTATCTTCCCATCTGCTACCTGCTCTCAAAGATAGTGGAACCTCATTTCGATGTGCTTGCTTCGACCATGTGCTATCGGATTCTTCCCCAGGCTGATATCTAACATTTTGCTGATCTTAATGGTAATTGCTCCATGATCTTTCCTTATGATTTCTTCGATCAAGTTCACCATCCATGTTGCTTGACATGCACAAAGAGAAGAACCTATGTACTCTGCTTTGCACGATGATAACGCCACTACTGGTTCCTTTCTCGAACTCCAAGCAACTGATTAACCACCTAGTATAAACACATATCCTGTTGTATATTTTCGATTGTCAACATCACTACACCAACTTGAATCAATGTATCCCACTAACTTGCATTCTTTTCCTTTATCAGCTGCAGGAAACAGAACGCCATAGTCGAGAGTTCCTTTTAGATACCTCAATATCCTCTTCTCTGCTGCTAGGTGTGATAATTATGGCTTTTGCATGAATCTACTTACCATACATACATTATATGCTAAGTCAGGACACATATGACAAAGGTATCTCAATGACCCAATAAGTATTCTGTATTGAGTTAGGTCAACATCACCTTCTTCTAAATCTTTCGACAGTTGCAGTCTTGGTTCTGCAGGTGCCAAAGTAGAGTTGCATTCTTTCATCTCAAATATCTTGAGAATTTCTCTTGTATATCTTCTTTTATGCATCATCAAACCTCTACTACTCTTATAGAATTCGATTCCAAGGAAGTATGAAATGTCACCCAGATCTGACATTTCGAATTCCTTGCTGAGATCACCTTTGAAGTCTTCGATATCCTTCTTGTAGCTACCTGTTATTAACAAGTCATCAACATAGATACATAGTATAAGAAATTCACTATTGCTTCTTCTTACATATACTCCATGTTCATTTGTGCACTTCAAAAACTCCTTCTCCCTTATAAAGTTATCTATCTTCTTATCCCAAGCTCTTGGAGCTTGCTTCGATCCATACATGGCTTTATGCAGCCTGTACACCTTTCTCTGTTTTTCATGCTTCACAAACCCAACTAATTGTGCAACATAGACTTCTTCATTTAAGGGTCCATTCAGGAATGCACACTTCACGTCCATCTTACATATGTGCCAAATTTTCATTTATGCTAGACCAACAACCAACTTGATCATTTCGATCCTAGCCACACGTGCAAAAATTTATCAAAGTCAATTCCTTCTTTCTGGAGAAATCCTTTCGCCACGAGTCTTGCCTTGTGTCGTTTAATTCCCCTCTAGGATTCATCTTCAGCTTGTATACCCACTTCACATCGATTTCCTTCTTGCCTTGAGGAAATTAGACAAGTGACAAAGTGTTAATATCTTCAATAGACTTCACTTCTTCATTTATTGATTTCACCCACTTTGAATCCTTCAATGCTTCAGTTGCATTACCTGGTTCGACATCTGCATAGAAAGCATAATGTACCAACTCACATTCATTATCGACCATATCATCTGATGTAATCATACAATCTTGCAACCGTGTAGGCATGTGTCTTGTTCTCTGAGGTCTGCTTGGTCCTGGTTGATCTATAACTGTTGGTTTCTCTTGTATAACTTCCTATTGTCGAAATTCTCTTTCGACTTGAGTTTCTGGTTCTTTAAGTAAGATTCTCACTGAATCTTTATTGACATTTTCAGTCCAATACCATTCCTTAAGCTCATCTATGATCATGTCCCTGCTGATCACAATCTGCTTGTTCATTGGGTCGAACAACTTATAACTTCCTATCGAATGATATCCTACTAGGATCATCTATCTCGACTTGTCATCAAGTTTTCTTCTCAACTGATCTGGCACATGTCTATGTGCTATAGATCCAAATACCTTCAGATGACTCAAGCTAGGCTTCACACCAGACCAACATTCTTCTGGAGTAATTCCTTCTAGCTTCTTCGTTGGGCATTCATTCAATATGTATGTTGCAGTCGACACAACTTCACCCCAAAAGTATTTAGGTAAATGCTTGCCTTTCAACATACTTCTCACCATATTCATGATGGTTCAATTTTTCCTTTCTGTCGTGGAATCTAGGGTGGCACCACCTCATGCATAATCTCTTCTTTTTCACATAATTTGTCAAAGTCCCTTGACACATACTCTCCACTACTATCAGTTCTCAAAACTTTGAGCTTTCGACCACTTTGTCTTTCAACCATAGACTTAAACTTGGTAAATACCTCATAGTTACCATGTAACCATACTCATAGTTACAATCGTCTGGTGCTTCGATACTCCTGACCTCATCCGGAACAAGATGATTCTCAAAAGCATCAAACAAAGAATCCATATCCCTCCATTTCACCATCGGAGGAGCATATATAATAGGATCCCGGGAAATGTTCTGGGTGAACCCGAACTGACGCATCACTTGCTCAGGAATATCAGCACGTCTTACAAATCCCGTAGGCCAACTAACCCGTAAACAGCACAACCTCATCAAATGGTATCTTTACACGGTGGTCGACATATAAACAGAAGTGTATGTCCTCATACACTAGCCGATCAATGTACGCCCGAAACGACTCTATCGCCTGGTTCCCTCAGAGTGAGTCGTATGTGCAGACACACAAATTATTTTCAATATAACCCGTAGGAAGTGACCAACCCGAGATGAAGAGAAAGTTCTGTAGGATCCATCCCTGAAATGACAAAATTAAATTGTTAGTTCCAGAATTACAATAATTAACAAAAAACCACAAAGACCAAGAAGTTATACCGTCAGGAGTGACATGTTGCCAGTCATCTGCCTCGTATTCCACTTAATTCCTTCATCCAACTTCGTATACAAGTAAACCAGACAACTCAGCCCCCTAGTTCCACTGGTGGATCGTCTCAAAATCATCAAAGTACCATAAGTATATGATATCAGTGTAAGTGACACTAGTATCCACAAAAATCTGTGTGCCAACAAGATACAACGGGTATGCTCTCATGGAAAACCTATGGTGAATGGTAACCTTCTCGGGATCACCATGAACCTCTCGTGCACGCCTAATCTCAGCCATGAACACTGTATCAAAATAACTATACTTGATGTGGCTACCACATGTTTTTATCAATCTCTCTCAGGGCACTCTGAGGGGTAACTCCCAACTTCTCAACCAACATATCCAACATATCCTCTTTATCAATCCTCTCATGATCCAAGAATGTCCCTCTAGTAGGAAGATGCAGCAGACACGCTGCATCATCGAGTGTGATCGTCATCTCACCATGTGGTAGATGAAATGACGACGTCTCATGGTGCCACCTCTCAACGAACGCATTAATCATATCCCATTTGACAATGATGTATCCACACATGACCAAATCTTTCAACCCTGTAAGCAATAAAAGTTCATCAAACTTTGGCTCAACAGAGGGTACGAGTCTACTGATCTTCCGCCCATAGTTAATGACCTCGAGCGTATCACGTTCCTGTATAAATATTTTGACGAATTTAATCAACATACCAAAATTCAAAATTCATAACAAAAATGTAATAGAAATCACAAATCAAAATTCATACTTGTCCGTCCCAGATATATCTAGCAACATGGTCAGGGTAAAGAGGAAGAATGGATAAATCAGACAGTCCTCCTCCAAAAGTCCGAGGCACCGTAATTTCTAACCTAAATCACACATTTGAGTAGATTTTATATAAACTCTAAAAAGTTCAAAAACAACTTACTTGATTGATTGTGATTGATTTTCCTTAATTGATTGTGGTTGGATGCTTGATTTAACTGATGCTTGATGATTTCTAACAAGTTTTTTTTTGCAAATGTCTTGATTTAGTGAAAAATGGGTTTGAGAGAGTTTTTAAGTGTTTTGTGTTTTGAAATGTTACTGTAAAGGGAGGGGAAGAGGCAGCGCGCCTTTTAGTGCGTCCAGAAACCAGAAATATATTTATGGTTGCAAACCGTAGTTATATTTTCGGTTTGGACCTAATTCTTCATACGTATTTCATGTCTAATATGGTGCAAACCGAAAATATACTTCTAATGTTAGAGGACATTTTAGAAATTTCGCGTAATGCATTAGAAAAATATGGGATGGAATAAAAAATTCTCAAATGTTTTCAAATTATTATAAGGCGGTTAATTTTTCAGTTTATCCAAAACACTCATAACCTCACCAACAACTTGATCACATATTTGTCCATAATGAAAAATATCAAAATATTTTGTATTTAGTATGACTTATGCAATCATAAATCACTTCTAACAATAATAACATCTTCTTTCCGCTCAATTTTTTCAACATTATCAGCCTATATCACAAACCAAACACAAACTTCCAAAAACAATTACAGTTTATGCATTATTACAACCAATATGTTCACATGCATAAATAGATTTCACATGTCATTCAAACAGAGTTGATAAGTGTTTGTTATGAGTATGTGGTTCTTCTATGTATCCCGTGACCCAACAGTGATTCAAATATAAGCCATTCATTCACATCAGCTAAGAACAAACTTCCAAAATATACCTAGTGAAACTTTTTGGATTTTTCCTAGAAAAAAACAAACTCTAGTTTTATAAAATTATCTAGGAGGTGTGCTTGTTTTTTCTATTCTTATTCTATTTTCAATGCTAAACAATATTTATTTAGAAGCACATTAGAATTCTTCATTTGCCTCAAAACTCAAACCTTATCAGAATGTCTTGGTTTCTTACAATCTTGTTTCTCATTATCACATTTGCTACTAATTTTTCAGAAGCAAAACATGCCAACAAGAAGCTTCATTCTTCACCTGCTGTAGTTGGCACTGTCTTCTGTGACACATGTTTTCAACAAACTTTCTCTCAAGAAAGTCACTTCATTTCAGGTAATTATCAATTTCAATCTCATATATCTCTTGTCAGATTATCAGAGCCGTCTCAAATTTTTGATGTCACGTGTAAGAAGTTGAAGTTAGGCTCAGTGGAATTGTGAATTTTTTAGAAGTCTTATTAAACTGTTTTTGACATAGTTTAATCATGACAAAGTGTGAGGTCCGGTGTTGCACGCTCTCAAAGATGGGTCGGTCTCTTATAATGTAATCAAAATTTCTAAAACATTGTCCTTGTTTTTGTGTATAGGTGCATCAATAGCTGTTGAATGCAAACTAGGAAAAACAAAACAAAGATTCTACAAAGAAGTGAAAACAAATGAACAAGGAGAATTCAAAGTGAAACTTCCTTTCTTAGTGAGAAAAAATGTGAAGAGAATCAAAGGGTGTAATTTCAAGTTGTTAAGTAGCAATGAACCAAGTTGTGCTATTGCTTCAACTTCTACTTCATTTTCACTAAGCCTTAAGAAAAAGTTGCAAGATGAACACATTTTTTCAGCTGGATTTTTCTCATTCAAGCCTATAAAAAAGCCAAAATTTTGTGACCAAAATAGACATAGTATTCAAAACCCTAAGAAAAATGAAGTTGAAGACTTTTTCTTTTTTCCTCCAAACCCTTTGAATCCACCTTTGGTTCCTAATCCATTTCAACCACCTTTGATTCCTAACCCTTTTACACCACCACCATTGATTCCTAATCCTTTTCAACCACCAAGTCCACCATTGATTCCTAATCCATTTCAACCACCAAGTCCACCATTTTTGCCTAATCCATTTCAACCACCAAGTCCACCACCATTTTTGCCTAATCCATTTCAACCTCCTCCATCAAGTCCTCCACCACTCATTCCAAATCCATTTCAGCCTCCACCATCAAGTCCACCACCTTTCTCTCTTTTTCCACCAATAGTAGTACCAGGTATCACTCCATCACCACCGCCGCCGCCACCACCCAAATCAATTTTACCATTTCCTTTACCTCCACTATTTCCACCTCCTCATACCCCTGGCTCACCCCCTACTTCCTCAACAAAATCTTCTCCTTAACTATAGTTTTAAATTACAATCTGAAACTATAGTTTTAGAGGTCTCAATGCAATTATATTTGTCTCCAATTTAAAAGTTTGCAGACTACCATTTAAAACTATGATACATTATAATACTGATACAACATAGTGAGCTAAATATGAGGATGAATATGTCACACATATAGTGACTACTGCCAAAAAAAAAGTTGATACATTATTGCTATGTCTGTAATTAGTAATATATATATAAGAATATTGTTATCTTAAAGCTTATCTTGTAATTTGTGTGTGTATTTTCTATCCTTGAATTGCTTTAGAATTGGATGTTATGATTGTGATATGAATATACATATTTCAATGATTGAACATAAGTTGCTAAAGTCTATATGACTGAACCAAGTTAACAAGAAATGCTCAAGTGTTTGGAAGTGTGAGAATTTCCAATGATAATTATTTTGTTATACAATGATTGAAATATGCATTCACGTGAATATGAAAATAATTGGATATGAAAAACTTCATCCAAAATCTGTCTAGATTTTATATAAGCTTATAATTGGTTGAGAAGTCTCGTATCTAGGAAAATAATTATGCACAAAACTTATAAGTAGAAAAGGAACATATTGATAAATCCTAATCATAAGGGGAAACCAATTTTTCATAAGTTATAATAAGTAAGTTTTATATCATGAGTGAAATTGTTTTCAAATAGAATACTATTATAATCATATGAAACTAGGTTTAAACTAAAATTAAAACTTATGGATTGTGTTTTAAATTAGGCCAATGTTCAATTCATAGAAAATTGGATCTCCTTGAAGCAAAATAAAGCTGAAGATGAATGTCCTAGAAATATATCTTACCAAACTAATCAAAATTAAGGGAGATTATTTTATTCATGTTGAGAATCTTGTTGTTAATTACGACAAAATTCAATATTAATTTGTGAGACAAAAAATAGTAGCAACAAAAATAAATAGTCTACAACAATAATAATTCGTACACAGATGATATAACATAATAAGGCGAGAAAAAGACGAAAGTTTGTTTACTCAGTTCGATCAAACGATCTACTCTAGGGGAGAGTAGTTCTCCAATTTACTAAAATTGTTACCGGAGATTACAAATAAGTTACAAGAAAATAGATTTCGCCTTCAGGTTCCCAAAAACAATCCTAAAAACACCAAAAAAACAATCATATTTTCTACCCAAATATTTTCCAAACTATTCATCCTTCAATATATGAATAACCCAAATCTTAGGTATAAATAAGTGTTTCTCAATTCCCTTAGATAACTCCAAAGGTTTCAAAGGTTTTCCAAAAACCCTTGCTTTTCTAAGGATTCCCTTGAGAATAGAAAAAACCCTATGAAATTTCTCGATCTTCCATCTACTAACTTTGTTCTCCTTTATTGCGGTAAGCTTTAAGATTGAACAAATGAGATATATATTTATAATTGCTAAAATCCAACAAATTCATAACAAATCTAAAACATATCTCATTAATGATTACAATAAAAAATATTATTATAAATTTATAATATCTCTCAAATATTAATCTTATAATATCTCTTAGAATATTATATATATATATATATATATATATATATATATATATATATATATATATATATATATATATATATATATATATATATATATATATATATTAAATATTATAAATATCTTATAATATTTTTTTATATTAATTTATATGATTTTTAAATTAATATAAAATACTCTAACATTAATGAATAGATTAATTAATCGAACCGACCGAGTTCGATATTCGTGAATCGCTCAGACTTTATTATTTTTTAACTTTATGATTTTTTGATAATTTTAAAATATATTTTTTTTTCTTCATCAATAAAGATTTTAAAACATATTACAACAATCTAAGTATAGTGTGAGAGTCTGATTCCGTATTTTAGAGTTGTATTTCCAACACATTCAATATACACAAAAAAAAAAAAAAAACGTTACAAGTAAAACTCTTCCATTTTACTAAAAATAATTTGAAAATACATCTTTGTAATATTTCGAAAACATCCTTTCGTAACCTTCTCACTAGCTTCCAAAAGCAACTTTAGTTAATGCCAAACTTTGTCTATAGCCCGTGTAACAGCAGCTAGTGAAAACTCTATTGACCCTTTTATTTTCCTCTCATTAAAAATTTGATAATTGAGATTCACTTTGATAGGATAACGTAAAATTCTTCTTTAAAAAAAATGGTGAAACAAGAAAATATACCTCCCAATCATTTTCCAGATAAAGTTTTAAATAGGATAAAATATGAATTTATTTGTTAAAAAATATTTAAATATAAATCTCACATCAATTATAGCATATATATATATATATATATATATATATATATATATATATATATATATATATATATATATATATATATATATATATATATATATATATATATATATATATATATATATATATATATATATATATATATATATATATAAAATACAATCTCTGTAGTAGTATTCTCATACGGTTTATTTTAATATCTCTCACTTTCTTATATGGTATTAAGAAGGCTAAAGATCTTAACCTAATTATGCTCAAAAGCCGCCATCGTTGCAATACCTTCCATAGCACTGCTGTTTCACTCAAAAGTATATGTCGCCGCCATAGTACCCCTTCCTCTTGCACTGCTGTCGTTTACCCCCCTTCTGCGACCGTCTTCTCCCTCATTTCCTTCGACCAAGCCGCCGCCAAATCTCCATCAACGCCAGCTCTCTCCGATATGACCCTATTGGTCTTTCTTGCAACCACTTGTCCCTTTCATCTTCTCCGCCTACAACATGTATGTCTCTTCCAACGACGACATGAACATGGAGAATTTTCCTTCAAAGGTGGAATAATATTGGAAATAATATTCCTATTAGATGCTTCACATAGAAGTTGGTTGCTACGACACATGGCCAAAGCTATTTCACATTCACACCCGCTCTCACCGCGTCTTGCACATATTGTACCTTCAGACAACTATCCCCAACCACCTGTCATTATCCTCAATTATGACCAGTGGCGCACCTGTGGAGCATTATGCCAAGCATTGCAAAATTCCAATCGTCGATTGACATACCTATATGCATTGATCATGACATTTCATGCGTAACATATCCACAGATGTAGATCATTATCCCAGATATTCAAAACATGCACACGTAGCATAAGCAAAGAATCAGGATCTTTCATGAAAATCAAAATCAATCCTCGGCTTAGCCAGTGGTATTTCTCCGAGTAAGTCTTACCCCTGCAGGTGTTCTCAATGGACATCCCCCAATGAGTCTACTGGAATTTTGTTCTCCAAGTAGACGTCTTTTCAGAAAGTCTCTTTTAAAACTTTACCCATGCAGAGTTTTTCCCAGTAAGTTGTCTCCCTGGGGAGTCATCGCTAGAATCTTTCCCCAGTCGATGATCGTCTTATGCGATACTGGTTAATCCCCAGTAGAGTTACCAATTTACTCTATTGAGTTTTTTATCCTTTGAAAGTTTTATATGTTAATACTCAAATAATCTTCTAGTGTTTGTCTTTTAAGAGTTTTCTTTGTTAATTCTCAGAGAATATCTCAGTTGTTGTTTGCTTAATCTGGTGAGAGTTTTCTCTGTTAATTCTCAGAGAAATCAGTTGTTATTTGCTTTATTTGTTAAGAGTTTTCTCTGTTAATTCTTAGAGAATCTCATAGTTGTTGTTTGCTTTATCTATTGAGATTTTTCTCTGTTAGTTCTCAGAGAATCTCACAGTTGTTGTTTGCTTTATCTATTGAGATTTCCCCCTGTTAATTCTTATAGAATATCTCAATTGTTATTTTCTTTATCCGTTGAGAGTTTTCTTTGTTAATTCTCAGAGAATCTCTTAATTGTTGTTTACTTTATCTATTGAGACTTTTCTCTATTAATTCTACGAGAATCTATCAATTGTTGTTTGCTTTATCCATTGAGAGTTTTCTCTGTTAATTATCAAAGAATCTCTCAATTGTTGTTTTCTTTATCGGGTTTAGATTTTTCTCTGTTAATTCTCAAAGAGTCTCTCAGTTGTTGTTTTCTTTATTTGTTGAGAGTTTTCTCTGTTGATTCTCAAATAATATCTTAGTTGTTGTTTGCTTTATTTATTGAGAGTTTTCTCTGTTAATTCTCAAAATCTCTCAGTTGTTGTTTGCTTTATCTGTTGTGAGTTTTCTCTGTTAATTCTCAGAGAATCTCTCAGTTGTTGTCTGCTTTATCTATTGAGAGTTTTCTATGTTAATTCTCATATATTCTCTCAATTGTTGTTTGCTTTGTCTGTTGAGAGTTTTCACTGTTAATTCTCAGAGAATCTCTCAGTTGTTGTTTGCTTTATCTGTTGAGAGTTTTCTATGTTAATTCTTAGCGAATCTCTCAGTAGTTGTTTGATTTATCTGTTGAGAGTTTTCTATGTTAATTATCAAAGAATCTCTCTGTTATTGTTTGCTTTGGTTGTTAAGATTTTCTCTGTTAATTCTCATAGAATCTCTCAATTGTTGCCTTCTTTGTAAGTTGAGAGTTTTCTTTGTTAATTTTCAGAGAACCTCTCTTTGTCATTGAAGGAAAAGCCCTAACATGTGGATGGGTGATAACCCGTCATATCCCAAATAAGTTAATCCTTCATAAATTACTGATACCTTATCTTTTCTTTTGAAGGACAAAACTTAGGTCCTTTGTATTTAATCATCTTTCACCATGAATATATGAAGCGACTTTCATTCATACTCTCGAGTTAAAGGTAATTAAATAGGGGCGGCTGTCAAATCCAAATTTTGTCCGGGACAGAAAAACATTCCTTCGAATGTACATGCTTTATTTTTTAAAATGTCGTGTATTTAATAAAAAACCTAAAATAACATTTGAGTTAGAATTATCTGGTTATCTTGTTAGTTAAGAGAAAATCCCAAAAAATGTTGAGTAAATTAGGCTATCACATTTAATTAAGAAGACAAAGTCAAAGAAAATATTTAGCTTAGGATTTATTTT